GCACCATAAATGGTATTCTATATGGAAATGTTCTCAGCCCAAGCGGAGAGCAAATGGAAATTACTAGTGTGAGCCGGAGATAGCAATTCTTTTTTATGCTGTTTAATACCCTTGATGTAAAAAAAATTATTTTCAGCAAACAAAGCGGGTCGATTTCTCTTGGAATCCTCACTATGAAGAATCGTTCAACTTTTACGATAGTAAACTGCTGGAGGATACCAAAAATGGTGTGCCAGAGGTATGATTTCTACTGTAAACCATCTTTCATTTCTTATACTTACTCTTTGTTAAAAATCCTCTTGAAGGTTACGGAATTTTGGCGTAATTTGGCTTTATGCCATACAGTGATGCCAGAACGGGACAAGGGACAACTGGTCTACCAAGCTCAATCTCCGGACGAAGCAGCGCTCACCTCCGCTGCACGCAACTTCGGTTACGTATTTCGAGCTCGTACTCCGCAGTCAATAACCATCGAGGTTATGGGTAAGGAAGAGGTTCGTGATCATCCTGTTGGGAATTTCTACCTTCGCTGGGATTATGATGCCGATTATGATATAACCACTTGTGTACATATTAACTTCGGTTAAATTTATACTCGTCGTCATTTCACTTTTGTGGCCCAAAAATTCAGAATTTCGGATTTCGTTTAACTTCACGCGGGGGTTATATGATTAGCTTACGCGGAATCCATCCACATGATAGCGATGATAGTTGATATATGGTAGGCATACGGTAGGAAAAGTAGATCTCCACAGTAAAGCGTTAGCATGCGGAGTAGATTCGATATTCATGATCAGCATGTCTAATAACCCTAACAGAAGGTCTGCAGGCAAATCAATTTGATCCCTACTGTACCCCTACCATATCTCCACAACAAGGCTCCCATGCTAAATGATATGATAGTCGTGACCAGCATGTCAATCAAACCCTTTGGGGTGAAGTTCAAGGAAAATCTATAATTTTGAATTTTTGGGTCAGAGAAAATGGAACTACCTTGGCCTCATATTGTTGTTTCCAATTTTCTAGTCATAATGTTTTGAATGAGCTATGAACGCAAGCACGATGCTAAGAACATTACATATATAGTTTTCTCACAGCTAATACCACAATTTAGGTTTACGAACTTTTGTGCATCCTTGATTTCAACAATGAACGTAAGCGAATGTCTGTAATCACAAAGAATTCGCAAGGAAAGATTCGTCTGTACTGTAAAGGAGCCGATATGATGATTATGGAAAGGTTCGTTCGCACTTCTGTTCTCATTTCTTCACATAAAACTGAGTTGATTTTTAGACTGAAGCACTCCACCTCCCCATTGCTTGTCAGCTCCACCAACACTCACCTTGCTGAATTCGCTAATATCGGTCTTCGTACTCTTTGCCTAGCATATAAGGATATCGATCCAGCTTATTACGAAGATTGGATTGTGAGTCTTTGAGAGAAGCCCTTGAAGCATATTGAAGACGAAAATGTTGTAGAAGCGTCAACAAGCTGCTGCTGTTGATATGTACAATCGAGAGAAAAAACTTGACGAGATCTATGAGGAGATGGAGCGGGGTAAATCAGCTATTATCCTACTTGTTTGATTGCTCACATGTTTTTGTCCTATAGATATGACACTAATCGGAGGAACAGCTATAGAGGACAAGCTCCAGGATGGAGTTCCGGAAGCAATTGCCCGATTGGCTGAGGCAAATATCAAGATCTGGGTTCTGACCGGTGACAAAACAGTTAGTTCAAATATTTCAATGTTTCCTTCGCAATTCCTTAGAAATTAACCTGCCCGGCAGTGGCTGATGAAGGAGCGGATAGGAAGGGAAGGAGATACAGTATACGTAGACAAACAATCGATACTTTGTATTGGTGCCATGCAAAGTTGAACTAATTGCCTTTTGAGGGCAAAACTT